TGAGCACGGAGGGAGGTTTTCGATCGGCTTCCGTCTAAGGGCACGTGCGAAACGGAAGCTGAGCTGTCTCTTTGCTTTCGACCCCCCTCAGTAATTCTATTAGATTTTACAACATAGTTCATTAATCTCAGTTTCAAAGCTTTTATTTATAGTGTATCGAAAAGTCACAACAAACCACACCTTTTGCGGATTATCTTCCAATGTTACGCTATTCCAGGGTAATCTTGAAAGACGTTCCTCCCAACGAATCTGACTATATTAACGCCAGTTATATAAAGGTATGCTGTTTGTGTGCCGTTAGTTTTTCCTTTTTGATCAGTTTTTCTTACACTTTCGTTTTTTTTTCTCTTCATTGATCGTCCTGGTGGGAACAACCATCTGAATTTGTCAGTTGAAATCGTACAAGTTCTCAAAGGTTATATGACTTGTTTTCAGATACCGAAAGGACCACCACTGCATCTTTACGCTAATAGAGAGTACATTTCCACACAAGGTTGTTTGCCTAACACTCTTCTAGACTTCTGGCGAATGGTATGGCAAGAAAATAGTCGCGTAATAGTCATGACTACCAAAGAAATGGAACGTTCACGGGTTGGCATCATTGCTTCTATTCGAAAATTTTTTCCATAGCCGTGTGAGCATTGCTCTTGCAGAGCAAATGTCATGTTTATTGGCCGGCATTACGAGAAGAGCTAAATCTTCGTGAATATGTGATCAAGACCGTCGAGGAGACTAAAGTGCCAGGCGACAACGGATTAGACATGTTCATTAGGCGGCGTTTTATGGTGGCTAAAAAAGGTGCGCTGCATGCAGCTTGCTCTTTCTTCATCTTTTCTATAAGTGCTCAGTCATGTGTGCAAAATTTCGATTAGCTACAGCATATATTGCCTCACTGGTCTCCTGGACTGCCAATGCTTCATGAGGGAGCATTCTGAGCTCAGGAAATTTCCGTCTAACACTCAACTCACTTGGTTTCACAATATCAACTATTCAATGTTAGACAGAGCTTTCATTTTTACTGGAATAAACGGCACTATTCAAC